GCAATCCATTCTTCAAAATAATTCCTTAATTCAAAAGCAAAATCTCTTCAAGTAGTTTGGGGGCGTTTCTGAGATTGCACGAATTTGATGCGAAATTTTTCTGGAATAAGTTTGAACCTTTTAAGCAGTATCCCTTTTATATAAGCGTAATCATAAGCCTGCTGTTCTGGTTCTCGCATAATCAGCTGAACTATGTCAGTTGGCAAAATTGTCAATAAAACAGCAAAACCCATTCTGATTGGTGAAGATTCGCAACGCTTTGCTTGGCGCTCAAAACATGACGAGGATACAAAATGATATCGTTCTCTTCAGGATCAAATTTTGGCATCGTTTTTTTTTTTTAGATCGTATCGGCTTTTTTTAGTCCATTCCACCATTTCCAGAGTCATTTCCGTTAGCGGCTGTAAACGTAACTTGGATAATTCAAATTCCATTCTTCTCTTCTGATTCTATCCTGCTTTCTCTTCTTCTCTCTAATTCTATCCTGCCTTTCTTCTTCTTCTCTCCTAATTCTTCTTTTCCTTTCTTCTTCTTCTCTCCTAATTCTTTCTTGCTCCTTTTTTTTCTCTCTCAAGCCTCGTTGAAGTGATATTTTCTAGCAGGCCTTTCACTAGTTCCCCTCATAGGATTCATTTCCCATAATCGGCGTCTTAAATCCAATATCCTAAGTTCAGGGCTAACTTTTTCCCCTAAATCTTCAGCCAAGGATTTAAGATCCTCTTCCTAACTTTTGCTAAGAATGCCATGATATAACCACAATTATGATCCTAACAATTTTTAGCTCCCTCACACTACAGATACAACAAAACTGATTTAAACAGATAGCATTTTCACAAGAGAGAGTAAAAATTAACTTTTATAATTTTTTCACAACCTATTTTATAGATGTTAGACAAAAACAAGACAGTTTACACTATAATATGCACATTATGCAATTCAGAAAATAAAAACAAAAATTGTCTACTTGAGGACGTGTGAAACTACAAATAATATTATCCTCTGAAAAGCTTTAAATTCAGTTGCGTAAAACACACTTGCTTATGATAATACACTATACTTACCTCAAAATTTGCGATATGTTAAAATATGCATTCAGAAATACAGTAAATGACACAATACCTATCCATACGCTAGTAATTAACATTAATATGACAACAGTTAAAAGGAAAGATACTTGGGATTTTATCATTCCCCTTTTACTCCTTCAATAGAAAAAAAAAAAAAAATTCTCAGTTCTTACACAAATAATGTTTGATACACCTTAACTGAAAATTATAATATTTATGATATTCAAAACGTCTTAGAAATGAATGTCAGAATGTGACCTAACCTTAGAACCTTCAAGTTACAATAATTCTCCTCCTTTACACATCCAATATATAAGTTTAATTTGAGCACAACACATTCACATTTCAGATATTAAAAAAAAAAAAATCTATTAACACAGATTTAAATTCTAAAATTTATACTTTCTTATTGTAACAATAAACCCAAAAAGCACATTTCTTTAAGCTTTACAGGAACAAGTTGACTTAAAACAGTTATGTGAACTTACATACTGATTTACAGAAATAAATTAAATTACTTTCTGCCTCAATATAAAAATCCAAGGGTACTTACCGTCTGGATTGGAGACTTCGCTTCTCACAATTTAAGATTTTATGGACACTGATGATCCAGACACCTATAACGCACACACACTACAGACTTTCACAGCATCTAAATTTTCTCGAGCACAAAGATGATTCACACACGTATCACTTTTTTTTTTCTCACTACACCTGCACCTTCACAAAGATATGATGATCTTCAGACAAGGCTGGTCCGCATACTCACTGCATTAATTTTTCTCGAACACAAAGATGATTGCACAAGTAACACCTTTATGCCCGCGCTGAAGATGAGCTGTATTCAAGAGACTGTCGTTCCTCTTTTTCTGGAATGACTGTCCGTAACTTCTGTCGTGGACTGGTGTCACTTCACTGCTTTAAAGAGCTGTAAATCACTTTTTCGAACTGATGTTCGTAACTTTTCGTGCCACACTTCAGAACCTGACGGTCTGTAATATCTGCCAAAACACTGATGAAGTTCAGACAATGGCTGTCCTACAAACTTGAGATGAATTTCAGAGCTCTTACGGTCTGCAATCTCTGCATGGATTTTCTTATCTTCATCGCTTTCGGAGAGCTATAATCACTTTTTTGAACTGATGTTTGTAACTTTTCGTGCTCTTCAGAACCTGACGGTCTGTAATATCTGCAAAACACTGTTGATATCCGGACAATGACTGTCCCAAAATCTTGAGATGAATTTTTAGAGCCTGACGGTCTGTAATTTCTGCATGGATTTTCTGATCTCGTCGCTTCGAAGAGCTGTAATCACTTTTTCGAACTGATGTTCGTAACTTTTCGTGCTGCACTTCAGAACCTGACGGTCTGTAATATCTGGAAAACACTATTGATACGTAACTATTGAACGATTGTGGGACAATGACTGTCCCACAATCGTGAGATGAAATTTTAGAGCCTCACGGTCTGTAATTTCTGCATGGATTTTCTCATCTGCACCGCTGCCACCATTTATTATAGCTGTAATCATACACCCGTGTCGGGTGACGAAGACAGTTGTCTTTTAAATTATTTACTTGATAAACTAAAATAGATTTCTTGATTAAGACATAAAATAAACTGATCATTACAGCTCTAAATCATACATATCCGTAACGCAGATTGGATGCAAAAAAGCGTCCTTTTTACTGTAGTTTCAGCATAAAAAAAAAAAAAAAAAAAAAAAAAAAAAAAAAAACAAAAAAAAAAAAACTATTTTTCTACAGAAACCACGGCGTGGTTTAGAACGTAAAAGATGCGTCCTGTCCCCTCAAATCACATGAAGAACTCTTACACAAAAGATCACTCGTTTTGTTATCTGCGAAGAGAAACATAATTAGTTCCTTGCGTCCGGAAACTCCCAGGGGGTTTTATCTGCAGTCCTGCTTTTGCAGGTATGGTCCATTTCGTCCGCGAACAAACAGGAAGTTATACTTCAGCACCTGTGCCCGCGAGGGGTGGGGGTGCTAGTAGCTGTATCGTCACAACCCACTCATCAAATTCAAACCCCCCCCCAATGGCAAGCTCGAGTCATTTATAGGCGTTGGCCACTACTAAGATCGGAAGCGGTGATCACTTTATTCTGGAGGCACCTAATAGGTTGACCACAGTTGCCTCCCATGAAGAAACGGACAAACTGTGTTCATATCTTCTCCGGGTTTCGAACCTGGACCCTTCGTACGGCAGTCAAAGTTACTAGCCCGTTTTCCGTATGAGCGGCTCAAGTCCTATTGTTATAACTTTTATAAGCTTGCTCAAGAGTGAAAGAAAATTTAACGGGAAAAAAAAAAAAAAAAAAAAAAAAAAAAAAAAAAAAAAAAAAAAAAACACCTTCAGCCACCAGTCAGGCATCTGAAATCCTGCACATTCGTCACATATTAGCTTCTTAAGATTTCTAAGTCTGTAAAATGTGTGTTTTTTTGGGGAGGAGGGAGGAACGAGCAATGAACCTGCTGTCCCACCCGGCTGATTGCTTTGAAGCTTTTCTCATAACTTCAGGATTGTTTACTATGCTCTTCTTCCCTCTTCCTCGGCTGCCTCCATCGTAACCGAGATTTCGAAACTATATGATTGGGTAAGACGCAGTCCGCTTTGGCACCTTTCAGCATCAGATGAGAAATTTCACGTTGCCCCTTTACTTGCATTTAAATCCAAAATCGTAATTCGTTTATTAACCGTGATAAATAAACAGGAAAAAACTTCAAACGTAATTTGATGACATAAGAGGATTTATATTTGAAACAAACAGATTTAAAATTTTAATGGTAGATTTATATTTCCTTCCTTTCATCTACGTTATTTCTTTTCATCCTATCATACATTTACTCTACTAACATATTATTTGAAATTTCGTATCAATGTTATAGTTAGTCTCTGAATTTTTCACAGCTAAGGAACGTCATGCGGTGTTGCAGTATCACCAGTGGCCGAATAGTTCCAATTCAGAAGAACGGGCTGGTTGCATAGGAGCTTTTTCCCCATGTGTACGAAAAACATGATCCTTTATTATGCATTAGCTTGTTATTTTAACCTAAATGATCCTTTCCCTTTAACAGAGATAGTCTTCGTGTGCTTTTCAATGCCCGAATTCACCATTCTTTGCTGCACTGTAAGGAAATCCACGCCTTTTAGCTTTCATCGACTAATCTCATTTTTTGTAACATAACATAATACTTATAGAGATTTGTGTGCCAACTTGCAATTTTTTAGGTAGCAGAATTTCTTGAGCATCCCAGGAAAAATCTGTCAGAACTTTTCTAGCTGAAGGAACGGCTTTCAAATGTCTTGGCAAAAGCAATGAAGGATGCACTGCGTACTGATCGATCGATGTGAAATGCTGCACTTCTCGGTGGTGTTGGCCCCCCAAAACGCATTCCCGTCATTCAAAAACGGCTACTTCTGTATTCTCCGTTCAAACATTCGCAATCCATCTTGCGCATATTCTTCTGTGATGCAACTTTTTGTGAGTAACGTTACGCAATTTTTAAACGAAATCCTAACTATGATGTAATGTCTCAGATTTTTAATAACGTATCCCGTCTCTGCGATGCATATTATTGTTCCTTTCCTTTCTCACGGAAAAATTCGATACGTTTCTCCGAATGGTCCGTTGGTCCGAATTTCAAGTTAGAGCAGTATTTATGATAACTTAAAAAAAAAAAAAAAAAAAAAAAAAAAACTACTACTAAACACATTTTTATTTCCATGCGCCTATTTTCATCTGAAAAACAAGAGTTGTTAGAAGACATTAATTAAGACTGTAAAATAAATTTGGCCAAGTTCAGTTACGAATTCTTTTTTATCCATCCTCAAACACCTTCAAAATAGGTCTTTTTTTAATCATTTATAACCTTTTTTATACCATGAATTCTAAAATCTCTGTTTTATTTTTAGGAAATAAGTCCTCGTCACAACAAGCTTATTGCACAATGGGAGCAAAGGATTCAAAAGGCAGAAAGTTGAGCTAGATATTTTAACAAGGATATAAAAAGAATCTTTTTTGTTGTGTAGTCTCCAGCAATTCCGGTGCCTGTTTGGAAAGAATTGCGCATTTTGGATGACTTATATGTGCCTTAAATATCAAGGAACTTTTAAAATTTCTGTGGTTACTTTTATACTGCAGCTTTTATTATCTTATAGCATTCTTTTATAATTACTACAACAATGGATCTTGTATACTTCTTATATAAGCAGAGCTATCTATGATATGTAGAACAAAAATATGCCTTAAACTAGATAAATTCACCATAATTCAGGTAATTATGTGAAATTTATGTAAAAAAAAAAAAGAATTCTATATTGTACCACAATGGTGACAATTAATTGTACATATCAGATAAAATAAATATTACTTCCCATCAGTAGTATTTTATTCTTTAAAAATTTTTAAATGCCAAAAAAAGACACGATAATCTTTTTACATCTTTATCACAGAAGTAACGAGAATAAGAAAAAATGATTAATTGATAATCAATGAAATTTATATCGCGGAACGCAAAAATTAAATTATTTTGATTCTAAAGTTAATATTTTATTTGAAAGTTAAAATATTTTGATTCTGAAAATTTACAAATCACACTAGAAATTAAAATATATAATGGAGTTCAGTTTCATATGCAGTTGGAAATTATCTCATCTATACACATCAGTCGATTCCTGATTTAATAAATAGCCTGGAACCAATAACAAAATTCATAAATTGAGATTATCCTTTAAAACATGAGCCTAAAATATCCGAACAAATATAAAATGAAAGACAAAAATTATTTTCATACCTCATTATGAAGATTCTAATAAAGTGAATAAAGAAAATATACTTCGTATACATCAACATGATGCAGAAATTTTTAAAATTGGTTTTGCACAATAAATTAGTGTTCAGAAAAGAAGTCTATATTTGTTTCAAAAGATTACAACTTTCACATTTCTTTATCAACTTTTGGAAAGCATAAAATACTTTGGAATCTATTTAATACTTCATAAGTAACTTTTTGATTGACTGAATATAATCGGTTGTACATCATCTTCATTGTCAACACTGGATGCACTTCTTTTTAACTGTGGTGTACGTATGAGCTAGAAAAATGTAATTAAATACAATTAAAAAATTTAATTAAATGTCAATCAATGACATTAAAATGTGTTACATACAAATTGAAAATTGATTTGTCTTTGAAATTTTATTCCATGTCTTTACAATTCTTCTTAATAATAAGACGATTATACCTACTAATAAAATTTTGCTTTTATTCTACTCTTACTTTAATTCTCAATTACATTTAATGACCCTTCTTTCCCTGAATTTTAATGTTAAGTAACATTTAAAAAATAGAATTTTTAATGATCTTTCTAAATTAGATTAAACCACGAATTTTTTGTGGGGGGGGGAATAAAAAATCTTTTAAATTGGGATTTGATTGCATAAAATTCTTGATTGCATAAAATTCAGATCAATTAAATTAATGTCTTTTTACGGAACACACAGAGGCTGTTCGCATATTTTTAGACGATTTTTATTGTACAGGGTGGGGCAGGGAAACTTCCTTATTTGAAACGCGCGCCATCTAGCGACATTTATTCCGAGAAGGGGGGGGGGCGCTCATTGAAAAGAGCGGTATCTAAAGTTTTATGCCATGTAGGTTTAGTACCGTCCATGCTTTAAAAAGACCAACTGCAATCAATATGCCAGCATGGTTCAAGAACACAATTAAGAATAAATATGCGCTCAGCCGCATTAGAGACTGCACTACCATTACTAAAAGCATTGCTGACAACCTGGAGTGACTACTTTCCTTGGACACCGTGCCGTCAGCAGCCTGCTCTATACATATATTAATTTACTTAATGTCTTGTTTTTTTTTTTTTTTTTTTTTTTGTGTGTGTGTGCTGTTTTTAATTATATTTAATATTATGATTAATCCAGAACTCATTTAATGTATTTCACAATTTGTAAGTTTGGTCATCTTTACCTCTGTACTGACTTTTATAGCACATCCTTAATATAACGGTATGCCTAACATGTACGATAATGTGAAAGTGTTCCCTAGTCTCAGCGTCCCCACCATGCACCTTCTTCCATGTCTGGTTCTTACTTCAATGTTCCTCGTTTCGTGGCCAATCCCGGGGGTCCGAAATGAGGACACAGTACTCGCTCTTCTTTATGTTTATTCATGTATATTTTTTAATTCCATCGACGGGATCCAACAGGCTGAAAAGCACCTAACCCAGGGGGGCCAGCTGTTCCGTCGATGGTGAAAAGAAAGAAAGTACCGATTATGCAGTGGACGAGAGAGGAGCGCGCGTTCTCCGTGGAGTCGTACTTTTCAACGTACTGCATTTTCATCCATACAAATTGGCAGTGGTGCAAAAACTTAATCCACGCGATTTTCTTTCACGAAAAAAATGCATACAAAACCGTTCTTGACAATACGCCTCATGTGTTCTTTAGCGATGAGGCTCATTTTCATCTTTCTGGTTGCAGCACGCGTTAAGCAAAACATGCAATAATGGAGTGGCACGAATCCTCGAGAATTTCATAAGCAGCCCTTCCATACAGAACGTGTGATTGTTTGGTGTGCGTTATCTAGAATAGGCATCATTGAACCATGATTTTTTGGAGAATATTTCCCTGGACGTCTTATCTCCTTACGAGGCAATTGTCAGTGGCCAGTGCGCTCGCCTGATTTAGCCCCGTGTACAACATACCCGTTGATATGCTAATAAAGTGGAAAGAAACTTCAAAACTCCACTATCTCAATGCATCGACCAGAAGGGTGTACTCCAACTGCGCTGATGAAAATCCCCCCTCGTCCTGCTATAGTCCAACTGCGCCGATCAAAATTTCTTTCCCCCGTTGCCTACAGGGTTACAATTTTATTTTTCGAAGCCAAGTGTAGCCAAGAGGAAAATAAAAATAAAGAAATATATTTTTTATAAATGAATAGTGGATTTGTTGCCAATCTAGAGAAACTATGCTTCGGCAACAACAAAGATAACGCCTTCTTTTATTATTATTGCGATTAATCATGCTTACTCCTTTCTGGAATTATTCCAGGAAAATAAGTGTTTAAAATTTACTTCGTAATTAATACAGATATTTTGAGTTTTTATGTATTTTTGCTTGTCGTGAAAGTAAAAACTGAATTAATTGATGAGAAACACTGAATTGTCTGTGAAAAATCGTTTCTTTTTGTTTTTTTAATTTCTTTTATACAACACTTTAGATTTACTTTGTTAATTGTTCTGTAACACAAAAGAATTTCAGAGGACTTAGTAATACTCTTGCAAGCATTAAATTTCTCTTGTAACAACATGTGGGGCTACAGGCATTCTTCATGAGCACAACAATTGGCTCTGACCTTTTTCACCCCTTCAACCGGAAGTCAGTGTATATTACTTTAAATAGCTAAATTTTCAATCAGTTCCGAACGATTCTTTGACTATCTTGGTGAAAAATATAATTGCTTCTGATATTTGCTGAGAAAAATATTTATAAACAGGTTAGCATGATAAACTTAAACTTAAGAAAATGTTAAAGTATGAATAAAATAAATAAATAAGGATAAAATATTAAACCATGGAAAACAATTTCTAGAGAAAATTTCTTAGGGGTTGAAATTTAAAAAATACAGTAGAAATGAGAAGCGAATTTAGATCTCTTTCATATCATGAATTTATTAGGCATTATATACCCTACACGGAGAACGCATTCCTTAAAACTGAAATGCGGACAAAGGGCACAGAAAAATATTTTTGAAAAGAGCTATGTAGTAATGCATAAATAAAAGAAAATAAGTAAGACTATCAAAGGAAATATATAACAATTATTACACCAAACACTGTTGACCGCAAGTGATAGAATTTTGTTTTCTTGTTTAGCTTCCAACAACGCTTATGCAGTTAGATAATCATTTTAATTCGCGTAAAATTATAAACAAATGTAAATTATTATACACAAAAGCTAAAGTTAAACACAACAGTGTGAAAGGAAAATTCTGGAATAAAATGTTAAGAAATTAGATGCGAAATAATCCATAATTGCTTGATATCCATATACTAAACTCTATGCTTTTGGAAAAAAAGTTACACATAATTGCACTGAGGTATCAATCACCGAAACCAGTTAATTCTTCCTTACTTTTTCTTATCAGAGGGATTTGTAAAAAGATATTCGCTAAGGTGAAAAATTTTGCAATATTTTTAAAGAATAAATTTTAAAAAATATTTTTACTTCATGAACTGAAATTTTTACATTTTTACAGAGTAAATAAGTACAAAAAAAGAAAGAGCTAGGGGATCACTGGAACTTAGGAAACTTCGGGTCGAACTACCAATGTTTAGTGACTTTTCCGCTCTGATCATAAGACCTTTTGAAATTAGGCTTAACAATATACTTAAAGAAAATAGAAGATACAGCACACGTAAGAACAAAAGTGGGCTGAATTAGAGATTTACATGTTTAATGAATAAGTTAAAACTACCTGTATGCCATTATGAAATATTAGGAAGTAGCATAAAAGCATGAGTGAAGAAGGCAATGGTAATCTAAATGTATAACATATAAGCATCTGCTATTAATTTCAATACTGCTGAAAAAAAATATAAATGAATATATTATAAATGCTATGAACTCGTTGCATTATAAATTACAACAGTTAGAAATATTATTAGCGTGATTTAGCGACCATCTTTGTTAACAAATAATTTCAAGTAACTAATTTTACAAATAATTCAGCCTGAAAACTAGATTAGAAAATAAGCTACATGCTGAAGACAAGCTTTGCCAAGGTGTTAGAAACATCTTTGTTAACTAGAGTATGAAGCAAGAATTGTAAAATTATCATTTAATTATAAATTGGCATAAATACAATACAAATTATATAAATTTTACATACATGAAAACTGAGTACAGTGCAAACAATATGTGAAAAAGGAATGGATTAAAAGGGAGATAGAAAATCCCAGGATATGAATATAAGGGAGTTTGATTTTTTTTTGTTAATTATAAAAATCTGATGACGCTCATAATTATCAATTATTAATTAAATGTTATTAGAAATTAAGTGCATGCCAAAGTACATCAGGTGGAAAACAGAATAAATATTTAAACGTTTCTAGTATTAAAATATGGAATTTGTAACAAAATTAAATAACCTTAAAATAACTTCAATGATTAAAAATGAAAGCTTAATACGGGAATATATTGCAATAATATTAGTGTGAATTTAGAACGACTTAAGAAGTTCCAATTTTTAGATTTAATAAAGATAATTTTTATAATTAAATTAGAACTGTTTACTAAAATGGTAAATTTGAAAGTTAAAAACCATTCTGCTATCTAAGAAGATTTGTAATATTTATC